CAATCTGGACTCTTAACACGGTGTCTAATGGTATCGCGCAGATTCTGGTGATGACATCGAACAGATTCTGGTGGTTACATCGCAAAAATTTTAGTGATGACATCGCAAAGATTTCGGTGATAACATCGCAAATATTCTGGTGATGAAACCGCAAAAATTATGGTGATGACATGGCAAAGATTCTGGTGATGACATCGCAAAGATTCTAGTGATGACATCGCAAAGATTCCGGTGGCTACGTCGCAAACACTCTGGTGATGACACCGCAAAGATTCTAGTGACGACATCGCAAAGACACTGGTAATGACGTAAAGATCCTGGTGATCACATTGCAAATGTTTTGGTGATGACATCGCAAGGACTCTGGTGATTACATCGTAAAGATTCTCGTGATGACATCGCAAAAATTCTGGTGATGACATCGCAAAGATTCTGGTGATGATATCGCAAAGATTCTAGTGACGGAGGGCAGCGGTGGCCGATGACCTGCCCCGGCCACCGGCCGTGACCCGCTCTGGCCATCGCCGTGACCGCTGGCGGTACCTGAACGCTGGTGGAGAGGTGGCCGGCGAGCGCGGCCGTCATCCAGTGGCACCAGGGCCGCAGCGTGGCCAGGCTCTGGGCGTGCACCTCCACCAGGGTGGGCCGCAGCGCGCCCGGCGGCAGCTCGGCCTCGTGCAGCCGCTGAGCGGAGCCGAACGCGGCGGCGCTCACCAGCCTGGCGGCGGGAGACGGCCGGGAGAGGTCAGCCGCGCCCGGCGACCGGAGGCCGCTCACACAGCGCCGCAGCAGGGGCGCGGGCGGCCACGGAGCTAGCACGGGGGGATGGCACCCGGTCAGTCGAGCCCGGGGACCGGATGCCGCTCGCACGACGCCGCGGCAGGGGCGCAGGCGGCCACGGAGCTAGCACGGGGGGATGGTACCCGGTAGAGGGAAGAGCGCCAAACTGGAGACTGAAGGGTCGTGAGCTCGACACATACACGAACTACCGGTGGAGCTTCATACAGCTGCGATCCGATCGCAGTGTGTCCTCTGACTGCCTCCGCCACCCCGTCTCCGGCGGCACCGCAGAGCCCCAGCACCACTCCCTCGTACACCAGCGGGCCCCGACGCAACGCACTCGTGCACCAGCGGGCCCCGGCACCACTCACACGTACACCAACGGGTCACGGCACCACTCACTCGTGCACCAGCGGGCACTGACACCACTCACACCTGCACCAGCGGGCCCTGGCACCACTCACTCGTGCACCAGTGACCCCAGCACCACTCACACCTGCACCAGCGGGCCCCGGCACCACTCACTCGTGCACCAGCGGGCCCCAGCGCCACTCACACGTGCACCAGCGGGTCCCGGCGCCATGTATTCGTGCACCAGCGGGCCCTGGCACCACTCACTCGTGCACCAGCGGACCCCAGCACCACTCACACCTGCACCAGCGGGCCCCGGCACCACTCACTCGTGCACCAGCGGGCCGGCGTCCGGGCCGCACTCGGTCAGCAGCGGCGCCAGCCGACCCAGCATGTAGAGGTGCGTGGCCAGGTCGCGCAGCGCCGCCCCTGCAGGCGTGACGGATCGGCGTCGGGCGCCAGCCGCAGCCGGCGGCCGGCCGCCGTCGGCTCGCACAGGGACGGCAGCGACACATACGGCTCGAGCGTCTCGTGCCAGCCGGTCAGCTGCGGCACAGGGCGGCGCACGTCACGGCCGGGTCAGCTGACGGGAGGGACCGTAACGGGGTCAGGGGCCGGGAGGGGCTCCGTCAAGCCGCCCATGTAGCTGGGGGTGGCGGACGGCGTAACCAACGGACAGCAGCGTCACCAGCGGATAGCATTGGCACCAACAAACTATTCATGCAGGCGTATGTCAAGTACAGAACTTGATATGCGATACGAACCCGAGGGTACGTTCGATATATGGTGAGCTGTCACATAGTAAATCGGAGAGCGCCAGGGACGGTGCCGGCGGGCCAAAGTACGCTTTCACTAGGACAGTGCATTACCTCAGGCCCCACCGACACAAATTCCCCCGCCGTAAGTGGAGTGCCCAGGTCTCTCAGCCACATCCGGAGCGCACGGCGCTGGGCCCACGCCTCGCCTTACGCCCGCCGTGCGCGTTCGCGGGGCGGCCCCCCCGCCGCGCCGCCCGCCTCTCACCAGCAGAGCGCGCACGTCCAGCGGGTAGAGCGTGGCCACGCGCTCCAGCAGGTCGGCCGTGCGCCGCAGCAGCTCGCTCCACTCGGTCTGGCCGTCCGGGTCCTCGCGCTCGTCGTCCAGCCGCTCCAGCTCGGCGCCGTGCCGCCGCAGCTGCGTCCGCTGCAGCGCCTGGCCCGCCAGCGACAGCACCGCCTCGTGGTACCTGCCGCCGCAGGGGCACCGGCTCGATCCCGGGCGGCGGTCGGCGTTCGCCGACGAAGACAGCGGGATGGGGTGGTCGTGATGCGGGGAGGTGGGCGGTTATGGGCATCTGTACGTGAACCGAGCGCTGCCACAACGTGGGGCCTGTCGCGTTGTTACATGGCCCAATGGTCGCGAACAAAAGAAGCTCGACAACGTATACTGGAAAATCGGGAGGAAAGCTTGTACATAGCCACTCAGAACATCCGCCTAGGTGCCAATCAAGACAAATCGTTCAACCTCCATGGAACGAAATACGAAAAAAATGTTCAAAGGAATAAAGTCGTCACTTTTGTTCTTTCACTTCCATTTACTGTATGTGCCATTACACCCGAATCGACGCATCTGAACGCAATCCCAGCACGGCTCATCCATTTATCGAGTTAAGAGCATCGCCTGGCGCCTACCAGTGCTGCCGCCTGGCGGCCGGCGGCCAACTCACTTGGCGGCGACAGCCTCGCGGTTCTCAGTCTTGAGGCTGCACTTGGTGGCCAGATGGTCGAGGAACACGGCCCAGATGTCCAGGCAGCCGTAGTAGGCGTCCAGGTCGGGCTGCAGGAAGGTGTAGCGGAACAGTAGAGCCAGCAGGTCCAGCACCGGGAACTGGGGCCAGGCCTCCAGCCGGCGCAGGTGAAGCGTCACGAACAGACGCAGGAACTCGGTCAGGCCGCTCAGGTAGCTGGGGAGGCCGACGGCGTCACCAACGGACAGCAGCATCACCAACAAACATTCGAACAGCAACGTCACCGACGACAGCAGCGTTACCAACGGACGGCAGCGCCACTAACGGACAGCAACGTCTCCACCGGATAGCAGTGTCACCAAAAAACGTACGCACAGCAGCGTCACCAACGACAGCAGCGTCACCAACGGACGGCGTCACTAACGGACAGCAACGTCTCCAACGGACAGCAGTGCCACCAACAAACATATGCACAGCAGCGTCACGAACGAGCATACGCACGGCAGCGTCACCAACGACAGCAGCGTCACTAGCAAACAGCAGCGTCACCAACAAATAACAGAAATTTGGGAAGACTAAGGACACCTTACACATACGCATGCAAGGTACGATGTAATTGCACACTGAGGGCGGCGATTTAAAAGGTGATGTTGAACTGAAATGAACACTAAAGAGACCAGCGGTTCGGTACACAGGACAGCACAGATAGCTACATCAGCTCGTCCAGCCGGACAACCTTTTGACGGATGGCAGGGGATGCGCTTCCCGTGCTGAGAACTTCCTACTCACTCTGGGTCCACTTCTGAGAGCTTACAGACGTTTGCTCCCCTCTTCCAGAAGACGTTGCAGTAAATGGAATGTGTGCTTGAACAGCTGCAGCAGGAATGCTTCGAAATCCGGCGGTACACAGTTCTTGCTGCAAAAGTTCGCAAAATTGCTTTAGTTGACGCGGAGTATCCTGCAGTCCACGTCTAGCACATCATTAACCTCGAAACGCATCAACGAGACCAAAGCGTCTCCCAAAACCCTCACCGTGGTTAAAAAGCTAAATCAAAACATACCGTAACAAAACGCATCGGATCGTACCAGCACCTCCTTTATAAAAACGTCTACGGTGGCACTAGCAAACTGTCGGTGTGCCGTGCTGTTGTAACTTGCGGTTCCCAGGCATCAGCCTGAATTCCCCCGCCTAGAGCACTCCTCCCGACGTAAACCATCCCCACCCGGAGTACGGGATGTGCAAAGCACCCGCACCAGCCACAGCCACGTCTGCCGTGTCTGGCGGAGCTCCAGGCCCCCAGTCGTACTACGTCATTCCGTGACTGATACTTTGGAGCAGTCTTGGGCCGCGAGCAATGCTCAACATAGACTTGCTGGCTATTCTGTTCAGTTCCCCCACCCCACCCCACCCCACCCCACCCCACCCATCCCATCCATCCACCCATCCCATCCCATCCCATCCCATCCATCCCATCCCATCCCATCCCATCCCATCCCATCCCCATCCATCCCATCCCATCCCATCCCACCCCACCCCACCCCACCCCACACACCACACACCACACACACCACACCACACCACACACCACACACCCACACCACACCACACACACACACCACACACCACACCAACCCAACCCAACCCACCCAACCCAACCCCCCAACCCCCCTACCCCCACTCTACACCCCCAACTCCCCCCACCCCCACAGATACTGGCATCGGCTGAAGCCTCGATCAGGGTGGACATCCAAATGGACTCAGCATTGGCAGCATGGTCAGCCTCAACAGCTCAGTAAATGGCACCTGATGATCTCGTTGATGCAGGCGATGGCGATGACGCCCAGCGGCTCCCGCGAGCCGCCGCGCCACCGCCCCGGTCCCCATCTGACGCGTCACCCTCCTGGGACAGGACGGCCCAAGTCACCATGCTGGCTTCTGCACGTCACCGAGGCTCAAACGGCGCCAATACCGCCGGCGCACGGCGTACGCACACGTAGGCACCCCTGTCTGGCGCTTCCTTCGCCAACATGCGGGGTGAAACGGTACACCAAGAAAAAAAAACGGTCCAATCTCGCCCTGGGCAAAATTTCACCGCAATATCTGCTTACCAGTCAGGATACAAAAAATACATGGGCGAGTTGAGCCGGATTCATGACAGCTTCGATCTTTGAAGCAACCCTCTGACCTGAGGCGTGACCGCATCAGACCTTGAAGCGACCCTCTGACCTGAGGCGTGACATCCCGCACAGAGTGCGGTTCGACTCGTGGTAGCGGCAGGACTTCGGGCTCGTCAGTTGACTCTCAAATAGGGAATCAGTTCTGACAGAGGGCGTGCGTAACATCAGCACTGACCCTTGAGAAGCCCACGGAGGCGAAGTGGAAGACAGCAGTGACCAGCTCGGAGGTGATCATCGACGAGGAGCGGCACCCACGAGAACAGCTGGCAGAGACATTCTGGCGGGAAATGGGGAAACCACACTAGTCAAGCACACTGGCTTCACATTTTGTCACTAACACTTCCACTTGCGATGGCAGTTGACTAAGTGCAATCAGCCAGCATTTATCAGCCAAATCAAGATGTTGCTACAGTAACTGTAGTGAAGTGTGGTTCATTTGCAAAAATGGTTCTCATAAAAATCCAAATTGTCACTAAAATATCCAGAATGTATAATGATGTGAGCTTTTGGCTCAAAGTCAGTATCTTGAGTGTTTCTGATCGATTTCTAAAAGAAAACCTTGTGCAAAAAATAAACAAACTATCAATACACACTTTAAATATATTCAACACAAGAGTTACAGGTGAGAAAAAAGATAAAAACCCATTTTCTCTAGATGTTCATTGCAGGAACAGTATACAATGTAGTTTCCTTTCAATCTACAGAACCACTTATCTTTCGCTATGCTTACTTGAGAGTCAAGGCAACGATATGCGTTGTCTCCCCCATCTAGCGGCGCCATTAGACAGAAAAGGGTTCTTATCGACGCCGTCAGATGTCAGAATGCAGCTGAGCAGTGTGCTGGGGTTGGCGGCCGGCGCGAACAGATGTTGCGCCGGGCTGCCATCAGGGCGGCGCTGCGATCGCGGTTGCTCGGGCGACGGCGGCGGCGTCGCCGTCACGTTGGACTTATTCGACTCGAGAACGGACCTCAAGATGCCTGAAAACGCCACCACTGCTTGAAGACATCGCCATGAATTACAGAGCATGGTAACTATCACAGTGGCAGAATCACCACCATTTAGTGTTGTTGTTATAGAGATCTGATACAGGGTCACGTGTTCTGCCAGTTGAGATACACTGTCCCCTGCCTGACATGATATTTATCAGTGCTGACATAGTCCTGAAATGTGTCAGTGCTGACATAGTCCTGACATTTATTAGTGCTGACATAGTCCTAACACACATCAGTGCTGACATAGTCCTGACATGCGTCAGTGCTGACAAAGTCCTGACAAGTATCAGTGCTGACATAGTCCTAACAAACGTCAGTGCTGACATAGTCCTGATATGGTCACTGCTGGACAAAAGGACTCTCAACCAAAACCGAACCCCATCCACTGAGCAGCTGTTCCCGCGGAAACACCACAAGTTGCCCGATGCAGCGCGAGTGCGTCAGCCGCGACCACACCGTCTGTGGCATCGTCTACGTCCTCGGCGTTTGCACCATCTCTGCCGGCCTCACTGGTAAGCACGGTGAGCGTGGCGGGCACTTCACGCAGCAGGAGCTGGCGCAGCTCGGCGCGGCGCGCGCAGCTGATGTCCTCGCGCGGCCGCCACCAGCTCCTCGGCGGCCGTCAGCAGAAACAGCAGGCCCAGAGGCGCCGCGTCCGGCGACTGCACCAGCTTGAGAGCACAGCCATGGAGTCAGAGGCCAGGTCAGTGGGTCACTAGGTTGGTTCACTGGCTGAGGCCTAAGGGTCACCAGACCAGACCATAAATTGCTATAATCAGGCCTGGAGCAACACATGTTTTGCATTGTGACATCTCTATCTCCTCGGCTTCCATCTCATACTTCTACCAGCTTTGGCTATCAGCCTCAAACAACAAGCCAGTATGTTCCACTGCTCAACCTTTCAGCTTGCACAATGACTCGTCCGGGTGCCCACAGCTCGTCGCACCTCACCCTGTCTGGCTGAAGCTCCCACAGAAAGTCGTGCATACTACTCAAGCTCCAGTGGATCACAAAACCAGCCTGCAACCTTCCCCTCTTTGGCCACACACGACACTGCCAATACTTTGCCCCAGCACCATGCAAGCCTCTGGCTGCCCAACAGCCTGCACCCATTCCCAGCTCACAGTGATTATGTTGCTGAAGAAGTCAGGGTAGAATTGGGGCCAGCTGAGGCGGGCCACGTCCACTACCAGCTTGACGGCCTTGTTGCGCAGGTACGGCGCCAGCAGGTGGTGTCGCTCCAGACAGAGCCTGTACAGGGAGCCCCGGATCTCCGCACGCTCCTCCGACCTCAGACCGAGCCACTGCTTGTTGATCACACTCTGATGGAGAGAGGCAGGCAGCGACTGAAGGCGGCGGCGGCGGTGCAATAAGACAGCAGATGGCAATGGAACTGATGGGGGAAAGGCAAATTTATAGGACATCTTTCCTGTCACACACCCCATTATTTTTTCAACTCGACCTTAAGCTCCCAAGTGGATAGGTTTTTTAGATCAGAGCTCATGCTGAGCAGTTTCCCTGAATGAGCCCTAACCTCCACCACCCATTTGTGCAATTTCACGTCAATGACCAAATTTGGTGGGAAAAATTTAACCTGCTGCACTGCTTGGCACACCTGCCCAGCCCTCTGACGTCACCTGACCTTTAGCGCGCGGCTGCCACTAGCTGCAGGCCAAACCTGTCAAGAACAACAGCAAGCGCCTGAAGCAGCTCAAAGCCACCCTGCCACAGGTGGTTGGATCAGTAGTTAGAGCCTCCAACCACCTGAGGTTGGTTGTTTTCAACAAACTATTGCAAGAAGCACATAAATTCCCATCTAAAACAACATGAAATGTGCTTTGAATGAAAGATTTCACTATAGCCTCACAGTGCAGTACTATTTCCACTGTCCTGGCTACCATGTCAGCCATACCTCGAGTGATGTCATGCAGAACATGCTGACATAGGGGTTGGATGTGCCAGCAATGCAGAGCAGACAGTTCTTCCATGCTGCTGGTTGTTGGCTGAACTCCTCCAAGGCTTTTTCTATTTGCTGCTTGCGACTGTTTGTGGTGCCCGCCGCAAAGAACTCATTCATCAGATGCTCCAGGGCTTGTAATGAACTGACATCCATTGTCAGCAGGCTGCAATGACATTATTTTCAGTCAAGAACAGAAGAGAACAAATAAGACGCTATCCGCAACATTTAGATCACATTGGCCGCAATTTACCATTACACATGGGACTACCACAGATAGAAAAATGTGGCAATCAGGTTTGCTTAGCATTACATCATTATTCATTATTTCACATTATTGTTTGCATCACTACATCATTTAAAGAAAACAGGAATGATCACAAAACTTATAAACACTACACAACACAGTAAAAACAAATCAGATTAATTTGAATGAAGACTGTTGCCTACTCCATAATGAGCTATAAAGACCCTAGCCCTCAGAAAACATGCAGTAATATTGCACCCACCAAGCTGGAGCCCCTTTAATAGATCTATCAAAACATATTCAAAGTCATGGCTTATTGGGTCAGAAGCTTCAACAACTCAACATGTGCCATGGTCATGTGTTGTACATGGTATGCTACAAGACCAATAAACACAAACACTTTGTGTGTGGGATCAGATTAGACCCTACATGCTACCTGCTCCACAGCTTTCATGATTTGGTCTAACCAATTTGAATCCATGGGTTCCTGCAATAAAAGCCTACATTAAGCCATGCTCACAGAATTGACACTTTTGTGGCCAAAGTTTAATGTGACACAATGCCTTGCACACTAAATCCTGCTTTTTTATGTCACCAGACCATCAATGAGGTTGCTTCTACCAGCCAGAAGCCATCTCAGCTGGGGGCAAATAAGTGATCGAAGCAACTTGAATCTGCCATGCCATGGGTGGGTTATTCCAAATGCATATGCTCTAACCAACTGAGCTACCTGGAAGGAAACTTTAAGGATTTAGCTGTTCACCTATTTAATCAGAAAATGTTATTGCTCAAATGCTGAGGTAGGCATTGCCTGAAAACAGAATAAGCCTGAAAACAAAATAAGCATCCGGGCCTCCGTGGCAAAACTGCTTTGCTTTGCTTGCAAAACTGCTTGCAAAACTGCAAAACTCAATTTGATATACGTGCATGCATAACATGTCTTAATAATGGTTAGTGAAATTGACCCATATTTGTCACTTCCACGACTAACCTACCAAGGCAGGTACATCGGAAAATGGGAAAAGCACATTGACAGCTTACCCACAATCACGAGCTTCAAGAAGTATACGTAGATCTGAACACGTCCGAACAAGCCCAGATGACTATGCATCCATAGGGGATTCGGTGCCAGTGGGTATCAAGCCCACTGTCAACGAGCAATGCCTATGCAACAAGCAAATACAGACACCCCTTCAGCGCATACGAACCGTAGCCCCCGCGGGACCCCCACCAGATCCCGCCCTCTCCTCCACAGTCTGCCGTCCTCAATGCGAGCCCAAAAGCCCTCATGTAATATGGTAGCTTAAATAGCAGGAAATTCACTTCATACCTTGCAGTTATACATAACTATTGTCAGAATCAAACCATTGTACTGCATGAAGCTTATATTTTTATCATATTTTTCCTAAAAAATAAACCTCATTTGCAAAAAAATAAAAGGACACAAAGCAATATGGCCATTGCAAAAGTCAGATCTTTGCTTGTATACATAAAATTGCATCAATTGTCTGAGGCCTTCATGGCGCACCAATCCCTGAGAAGATTTTTTTACAAGCTGTCTGCGAGCTATCACTGTGGGGTGTTTAGGGCCGTTTGGAGCACGGTGGGCAGCGTGCCGAAATTGAAGTCGCATTCAAATATAGTGCTTCTTGTTCGTTTGGAGATAAATAATGGCTAGCAGAGCTGTCCAAAGTTCAGTTCGTCACGTCAAGCCATTAATATCGCACAACAGGGAAGAAGCGAAGTCAAGAGTGTTCGGGCTGTACAAAGCATGGTATAGACAAATGCCATACATAGGTAAAGATAGATAATTAATGACAGATGATGGTACCAAATCACACTTGTGTATTCTTCATGAACCGATTATGCTTATACAACAACTTTGCTGCTGCATGTTGGCAGATCATTGGCAGTTGATCATTACCACATCATTGTTTGGTTGTGACATTACATTGAATCATTTAACTGTTGTTGTTGTTAAAATGCTTTAGAAGGTGTGCAGATTTTGTGAGAAATTAATTGTGTTTGGTTTGAATGATCTGCCTCAAACTTGTGTTTTCTGTTTTAGTGATGGACTATGATATTCCCAAGTCTGTTGAACAATGCCGGGCTAAGCTGCGAGAGAAGTTTGAACAGAACCGCCATGTGAAGGACATCCGTGTAATTGATGCACTGGTGGTGAAGGTTCGTATCAGTTATTTTTTGTCACAAATATCCTCTGAAGCTCATCCTAATGGATTCTTCAGGTATGCTTGTACCTTATAATAGAGGTCATTTGACAAGCTACCACAATAGAAGTTTGCCAATGTTTATTGTGAACTCTTTGTATAAGTATGTTATGGGCAATAAGAGGGTCTTCATAACCTAGACAGCCTGTAAGTATGAGAGAATGAAGGTTCTTTATTAAATATATGCAAGCAGGGAAGCATAGGCACCTAGGTATTTTTCCTGAGACTTTGGGAATGGTGCGGGCGTTAAAGATCCCTGTGCACTCAAATAAACATGCTTCACATCAGCATGCTCTATTCTTTAATGGCAAAAGAAATATGTACCCTAGATTAGCAGAAATAAAATAGTGCAAGTAAAAGACTCCTTTGAACTATTTCCTGTAAGCCCATTGATACCCGACCAAAACATGTCCTGTGACTAAAAATGGTGACAAATGTTGGAGCATTTTGCACTTGAGATGTGTAAGTAATGAACCTTGATGATATTTTGTTCCCTGGCCAAAATTTCCCAGCAGCTTGAGATTGGTGCATGCAAATTATGTGTTCATCATGAATTTTGTGCATGCCATAGGTGATGACACAATTGAACTGCATGGCCCATACCTGAATGAGAATTGAATGAAAATGGGATAAAAAGTGGCATGTACTTGACAACATGTACAAGAAAGACATTTCCAAACCAGACTTGTTTGGATTCAAGTCTGGCAGTCAATTCCAATCCTGACAAACAGCACACTGCTGATTCCAGTTCCGGTTCCAGGTAACACATTCCGATCTTGAGAAGATTTTGATTCAGACACAAGTTGCATCATGATTCAGGGCTTGAATCTGATGCAGCCATGCCTTCACCATCTGTTTGGGATGCAAACTGTATGTTAGGCTACAAGTATCCTGCTTTGTACATCAAATTTGGTAATTATGGTGATGTTATAGTGGGTCACATATCACAGCTGTCACAATGAGTCATGTAATACTACTAGTAAGACGTAAGTGACATACAAGAAGACTCCTATTTAGCCTTTTGCGGACTATGTTGGACGGATCGTGATGGTCGGGGCACCCACATCACTGGTGTGATTAACATGATTTGGTGTGATTAACATCATACATCAACATCATCACTGGTGTGATTAACATGATTTAAGAAGGCATTAAGCATATGCCTTCTCTGATTAGGTAACCATTTCTTTTGCGGCATGGAGGAAAACTGGATGGTGCTGCAGAAGGTTAAAAAATTACTGATCAGTTCATGTGAATATTTTGATAGTCATGCGTAGGATTGCCGTTATGAATTTGACCCGAAACACTCACATTAGTAAGCGTTTGAGGAGGGTTCACGCTCATTGACGTCATTCGCTTCGCAGATGTTGATAACTTGAAGTGGTGCTTGAACGGAAGCCGATCCCTTCACTAGCCCAGATTATACGCTCCAAGGCATCATTTAAATAGCTGGTCATGCTTCCGAGATAGTTGCTTGCATTGTTGCTCCCCGGTCACGTGACCAGTAGTATTGGTTCAGTTAAGCGCGTATCCCGTGGATGGGTTTTTTCAAATTGTTTGCCCGCCATAATTTGGCCACAAGACTCATGCGTTATGCCATAATGCGTGAGTGCTCTGGCATACGGTGTGCCTATATGGGCGCAACGACCACGTGATCAAAGTCCATTCGTTTTTCGATGCCAAGCGACCTCTCTCTGTGTCCCCAGGGCCAGCAGGAGCTGAAGGAGACTGTGAACATCTGGAAGCAGAAGCACCATCTCATGTCTTACTACTTCAAGGAGTCCCAGGATCCCAAGCCTAAGGACTTCCTCTCCAAGTTCTTGTCTGGTCATTAGAACGTCATGGTATGTTATAAGCTCAGAGAATGTATGTAAATAGATGAATCATATAAAATGGAAGATATATTGATGAACACGGAAACGGTGGGTATCGTGACTTAACGCACGGCAGGCATCGGCCACCCGAGATCGGATGTCTATACAACCCTGCGAACAAGATGGGCAGCCATCAAACTTATCACATTTTGCAACAACAGGTATACAACGGCAGTTATGACTTGGGCGCAGCAGCAAAGCGCGTACGCCGCGCAACACAGCGCGTTGCTGTGTCACCACCACAACCGATCAGCACCCTAATCAAGAACGCCGCGAACCATACGTTCATGTGAACAGATTTCATCAAACCATCCCGATTACCGTAGGAGTACTTGGCAAACGCAATCGAAACAAGCCGCTGGTCTTTCATCCGTGCCGTCCGGTCCGCCGCACCACCCTGCGCCGCCATCGGTCAGTCCCAGCCGGTGGTGACTACAGTCAAGGCGACGGCACACATCAGCACCAGCACCAGCAGCGCTGTCGGCACCACCAGCCAGAGCGGCGACGGGAACCACAGCCGCAGCGCGTGCCCCTCCTCCACGAACGGCAGGCCCAGCAGCCAGAACAGCACGTAGGCCGACAGCAGGGCCGCCAGCGTCAGCACCACCCTGCTGAACGCCTGGTCGTGGCCCAGCAGCATGGCGCTGGCCGCTGTGCTGACGAGAGCTGGCGCCGGCTGGTGACGGCTGCTGAGTCTGCTGGCGCCGGCTGGTGACGACTGACTGGCGCTGGCGTGTGACGACGGGTACCGGCTCGGTCAGTCGGCTGGTGATAATTGGCCCTGGGTGTTGGGTTGGTCAACGTTGGCTCAGGGCGCCGGATCCGCCACAGCTGGGTGCTGGGCGGTCAAAGCCGACGGTGGCCGTCAAGTCGGTGAGAGTCGACGCCCGTTGGGAGCGTGCCTCGAAAAGCGCATTGCAATGACCCGTCACCGCCGCGACGGAGGATCTGTGGAAGGGGAGGATATGTTAGGCTTGGGGAGCCACAGCCGTGCGAACGCGTAGGAGTGCCTTCGCGGCGGAACTTACCTAGACAACCGAGAAATACGGCACGGTGCCAGCGGAACAGTTGCTCTTGTCGGTAAACCGAGCCGAGTGAATCTGAGCTTCGGTCGGCCCCGCATCGCGTACCCAAAGTGTCGCGGCCTGATCGGGGGACAAGTCACACGTCCGGACGCGAGATCATCGAAGCCTTCTTGGAGCGCTCGCGCGAGCGGGCGGCAGCGTCCAACCTTCTGCGCGTTTGTGCATAGATGCACGCTATATTTGAACGATATCCTTCAGGCATTCAAGTGCAGCACAGTCTTGTTGGCTTCTCGCTGGAGCACTACAGCAAAGAGATAGCTGGTGTCGGCGACTTTCACTTTATTCACCGTCCGTGGCATTGCTCTAACGCAGGGCTGCCTTCGTCACACATGACACCACACTGTTATCGGTTGAAAAAACATCACGAGGCCCGGGGGCACCGCCGGACGCCGCCATAACAATGCCTTTCACCACAGCTTTATGTCGAGCATCACCTGCAGTCGTCAGCGCGCCGCGCTGGCATCTGTAGCGTCACGGTCGTCCGTAGTCCGCTCAGCCATAGCCGAGCCTTGGCCGACGTCGGCCGTGTCCTTGGACGCATCCCTGCTCACCTGGCCGACGCCGGCGCCAGCCCCAGCCTCAGCCTCAGCACCGTTAACCACTTGCATCTCTGCCGTTACTCCGGACTCACGACGCTCGCACGCAGCTTCTTCCTCCACTCTTTCCGCAGCCTCTTCTTCCTCCCCTCTTTCCGCAGCCTCTTCTTCCTCCTCGTCCTCGCCCTCGGAGGACGTGTAGCGCGGTAAATCATCTTCCGCTGCCGCCGCCGCCTTCTCCTCCTGCGCCTTCGCCAGGTACGCCTGCTGCGCGGCCACAACGGCAGCGCCATCTGCGCATGCGGCGTACGCCCGTAACAGTTCGTCGTTAAGCGCCTCGAACTGGCGGCCCCACTTAAACTTGCTGAGATAGAGGCGCGCCTCGCGCTCGAACCCTGTGATGAACATGGTGGCGGCCAGCGCCTCGACGCAGGACAGCTTACACGGCCGGCCGTAATTAACGGGGTTTGCGGCCACGAGGAACGGCAGCAATCGCGGGTGCCCAGCGCGCAGGCGGCCAAACGGCACCTCCGCCAGGCGCGCCCACGAGCAGTCCACCACGGCCACGCCGAAGTCGGCGACGGCGGTGCGGTCGGCCGGCGAAACGCACTTCTTGCCGACGGGCGTCAGCACCACACCGCCGAATCGCTGGCCCACGCGGAGCAGGCGCACCAGGCTATGGCGCACCAGTTTACGGCCCGAGCATGCCTTCGGGTTACAGTGGCCGAGGTCCCACATGGCAACGGGAAATGGCGCCACGTCCACACGGTCTGCCTCCGAATCGCTGCTGCTGCCATCGGACGACGAATCGGTGAGGGTGAGCTTCGCGGCTTCATCAGAGGGGGCGGTGCTGTCGGAACGGCCCGCAAGATCGTGCTTGGCGTCGTGGGCTGTTTTACGGCCGTGTTTGCTGCCGGCGCTGGAGGATTTGCCCCCACCACGGCGCGGTTTTCCCATGTCAGTCTGCGTGCTTTGCTTTCTGTATACAGAAGAAAAGGACTGAAAGGTAGATAATGATAACCTGACAATAACACTTATAAATACCATATGGAAGGCAATACATGTTTTTTGGGGGACAATAACAGCAGACTAGACAAACATGTATGTTGCAAATGATGTTACAAGTTGTTTTAATATCATTCAAAGCCTTTTGTTATCACCTGCACATGTCAGTACAAACATTGAATTGGACATGACTCACACATGCACTGTCTTGTGCATTGTTCATCCAGTTTAAACATACTCTAGTTTGGTGCAAATAGGCCAAAACTATGTGACAAAACACCAAAACATGACATATCTGTGTTTCAGGGAACAATTTGCTATTGTGCTGTTATATGTGGTCAAAAACATAAGTGGTCAAGTTCTCCAAGAAATCACTTGGTTTTTGCCTTCTCCCCACTCAAACCCTATCACAGTAACTGGGAGTTGCTTTGGTCATAATGTCAAAGGTGATAAGCAAAATGAAAACTGGTCAAAGTTTTGGGATGCATTGTCCATGCCATAAGCATGTTGCTTTGCAATGTTTATTGTGTGAAGGCTTGTGAAAAATGTGTCAAAGCTAGCAAGGACTTTACCACAAGCCCTAGTTCTTTTGGCTAAAAGCATATACCAAAATATGGATTCCTAGTAATACTTAGCCTTTCAATAGCCAACAACTACCCCCAATTTTTGGATAATCATTCCTGCATCTGCTTCATGAAAAGGGGGCGAAGGTAAAAATGTATTTTAATGGTTCTTTGAAGCATGCTTGAGTTTAAAAATATGAATGCAGTATTGTTAACTTGCATAAGATGTTTGGAGAGAAATGCTACCATATGATTTCCCTGGTGTTTATTCAATATCCATTTCACATGAAAATACCAGCATGGTTTTCAGCATAAAATGTAATAAAAATACAATATTCTTATGTCCATATGAGTCAGAGATCTCTAATTTGCAACAGATAACCATGAAAGATGTTGGCCTTTTTTGCAGACTGACTTATTGTGATCTGTACCTCATCCAAAGATATTCATTGCTCAACATCAAGAACAAGGCAATAATGGGTATGATGCCTACACCTCTATGCATGTAAACAACAATCTTTATTTGAATTTTCACTGCTATAATTTATAAATACTGGGAGCAATTGTAATTAGCTGATAGGCATTAGGAACCAGCTAAATTCACACTTCCGTTTCTTCACGTTACAGGTCAACAACACCTGATATGCCGCCTTTCGAGTTCGGAATAAATCCAGGGTCCTCTGAAAAAATTGCGCAGAACCAAGGCTATATATGTACACAGCGCACAATCAGGGGACCTTACGCGGAACGGCGGAGAATGAGAGAGTAAACATGTGTAAAGTGCGGGTTGCGATCACGGCGCGCTGTTGCGCCAAAAGGGCTGAGCTGCTTATAGATTCAGCTGATTATGGCCTGTGACGTCATACAATATTTCTACAAAACATAGATAGCGTTGACCCGAATGTTTTTTAGCGCAACAACATTTGTCGAAACGTGGATTTGGTAACGGCAACTCAGCGGATGAAATATCACCGAATGGGTAATTAAAAGAGTATGCATAATCGAACCGTGATTTGACGAACGGTGGCAAGCGAGGTGATGAATGCGTCGGCTGGTCTATTTGCAAACGTTGTCGAGTGGTCGCGCCAATTTTTGCGGATGCGTATTAATAGGTCCAGAGTTCATAAAGTCCAGTGGTCAAAAAAGTCCAGAATTGCAGCATCCAGCGTTCATAACGTCCAGACATCGTCAAAACCGCTCGACAGAGGAGAATCATAAAGTCCAGCGCTCATTAAGTCCAGTGTTCGTAAATTCCAGCGTGCGTGAGACCCACAGGTTGGGATATTGTCCCACTTCCTCGCAATCCTACATCTAATCGTTCGGATACTGCGCGATAGAGGGTTACCGGAGCCGATTTTGCCCGTCTCAGCCGACGAGTGACGTCATGCGGTACAGTACTTCCCAGTTAAACCACTATGCATGGATGTGGACAACGTTTTGTTTGGGCTCATCAACTTTGCCGCGTCAGGACGCCCCTGGCAGCAGACGCATTAAATAATTCAAAACTTTGATCCCTGGCTCGTGGCATCGGAAATAGCCGGTTACACGGCAGTCGCTGCACCGTAATCGTGGAAAGCACTTGCCGGGGTGCCCGCTGTTTGGTGTTGTAGGCTGTGGATAGACTTATCCGCGGTATGTTGTTCCGTAATTTAATGTATGTGTCGGTGATGTTTCTCATTTTTTGAAGGAATTGATGACTGATGTGTAAGGCGGACTGATTTGATATCTGCTCCAGGTAGGCGCGCATATAGATCTACAGGTCCTGGTCTGCTAACCTATATTGTTAATGACCTTATTTGGCTGATTCCCCTCCCTCCCCCAATTGCAAATTCTTTCACACGCTCCTGCAAACGAGAC